TTTTGACCGATTAATACAATCAGTTAAACGGTTTAAAAAGTCAATTAATAATTAATTTTTTAGTAATTTTCAAAATATTTAAAACGGTTTGCTGCATGGTTAAAATACGCTATGCGTTTAAAAAATGTGTTTTTTAAGGGGGAAAAACAAGTCGCGTATAAGTCGCATTTCATTCAGAAATGGGCCTAATGCCGACGCGAAATGTTTACAAACATTATAATAAACACTGTAAACATAGCTAGGCTATTTTAGTTCCCCTCACTCCACAACAAATCCTTTCAATTAACAGTATTTAGAAAAGAACAAGAATTAAAAATATAAGAAGCTATAGCTATATAAACGACAAGCCAAAACAAATTCATTTAGGCTAAAACAAAACTGAAACCAACGTTGGGTCTCTCATTCAACACAAAATCAAATGTTTCTGTATTCGCGATGTATTTGAATGCCAAATTATTATTTATTATGTACTTCACTCGCGTTCCAATATCCACGTAAAACAAAATGTTTTGTATAACATCACGGCGGTACAGTGATAACACTTAACCTTAACGGCTTAACAGATTTTACCACATATTTTTTACTACATATTTTTTTTCCATGTTTGACTGACTGTATTTGATTATGATAATGAACAGGCTGCATTGTCAAGGTAGCAATGCTTAACTGTGTGCGCATGCGGCGCCGGCGCAAATCGCAGACATCTCTGTCTGGTGCAGGGTTGCCAGGTTTTCGCTACAAAACCCGCCCAATGATTACTCAAAACTAGCCTGAAAATAGCCCAATTGCTTTCGAGGGTGTCCCCCAGTAAAAATCGTGTTCGGGGGGTAAAATAAATTTTTTTTTGGCGGGGTTCTCCTGGTACAATTCACATTCCAGGGCCTAAATATCACGTTATTGGGGTCGCTTTAACCCAGGGGTGGCAAACTCAGTTCCTGGAGGGCCGGAGCCCTGCAAAGTTTAGCTTCTACCCTAATTAAACACACATGATCCAGTTAATCAAGTCATTAAGGCTTATTTCAAAGTGCAGTGTGAACTCGGCTTTAGTTAATTTAATTAATCCCAAATTAAATTTGGCTGTGAAAATAACCCCAAAAGATATTTTTAAACCATTATTGTGTTAAATGATAAAAAAATATCAAGTAGATATTACAAAAAGTAACTTTAGAAAGAAATATTTTATTTGATTCAACATTTTTATATTTTTTTTACACATAAACATTTAGGCTACAATGGCATAATAACAAACTATGGAGCATAAAAGAAGATTATTTGAGAAACATCTCAGTATTTTTGTTCATACAGTGAAAGTCATTGGTAGCCAAATTAGCTTGGTTACCAACATTCTTTTTCTTCTGCTTACCAACATTCTTCATTATTTTCTTTTATGTTCCATAAAAGAAAGCAAGTGATACAGGTTTGAAGCGACATGAGGGTGAGTAAATGATGACAGAATTTTTCTTTTTGGGTGAACTATCACTTTATTATTTTTATTATTTTTATTTTTTAGTGAACTGATACTCTAAATAAAAAACTAAAATTGCCAGCAGGTGGCAGTAAATGTCTTTATGAGAAAGTCATTGAGTCATTCATTCATTCGATTCGTTCAAACTGCTGATTTATTCAAGAATCAAGTAAATGGCTCTCTTTATGAATGGGCCATTGAATCATTGGTTCACACAATTTGTTCAAAACGTGCATTCATTCAGAAACGAAACGCAGCTTGCTCAGAGATGCACAACAGTTCAGGGGGTATTCCAGAAGCAAGTTATGTGACAAACCCAGGTATGTTTAAGGGTAAGCGGATAAACTCAGCTTTCGGTTCCAAAAATGGAGGTCAATTTTAGGGTGTGTAAGTAGCCATATTAACTTATTCTCTGAACATAACCTGTTTCGGAGTAGGTTATGTTTCAGGGTTAGTTTACTTCAGAGGTATCTCATGCGTGACCTACTGACGAGACTCCAGTGGGCGTAACAGATTGTGCACAATATTATATATTATTTTATATTGTATTACCATATATAATAGTTATCTGTATAAATGATAAAACTCTGTTATAACAAGGTGTTGTTCATTTTATTATATTATATATATTTATTATATTTTATTATCATCTCACACATCATGGATCTGCATTTTCTATAATATATGTGACCCTGGAGCACAAAACCAGTCTTAAGTCGCTGGGGTATATTCGTAGCAATAGCCAAAAATACATTGTATGGGTCAAAATTATTGATTTTTCTTTTATGCCAAAAATCATTAGGATATTAAGATCATGTTCCATGAAGATATTTTGTAAATTTCCTACTGTAAATATATTAAAACTTAATTTTTGATTAGTAATATGCATTGCTAAGAACTTCATTTGGACAACTTTAAAGGCGATTTTCTCAATATTTAGATTTTTTTTGCACCCTCAGATTCCAGATTTTCAAATAGTTGTATCTCGCCCAAATATTGCCCTATCCTAACAAACCATACATCAATGGAAAGCTTATTTATTCAGCTTTCAGATGATATATAAATCTTTTTTGTGCTCCTGGGTCACATATTTCTATAATAAAAATACATATCTGATATGACTTATTATATAATTAGCATCAAACTAACAATATTATTCTTATTCTCAAGGATTAAAGATTAAACGAAAAAAGAAATGAAAAATGATTGCACAACCTAAAATGTCGATATGCACTAAGTATGCAAATGGCCTATGAGCAGAAGAAGAAGAAAGAAGTAGTATGCCTTGCTTTTTCTTAGCGTCCGTTTCCATAGTGACTTGTCGATTCGTCGCACTGCTCGTGTGATATCGCTTATCATAGATATAAATCTGAGACAAAAACTCATACAGGGGCATTTTTTGCCACAATATATTGAATTTTAGGGGCACATAACTGCAGTTATGGACTACACGCAGTTAGTCGTTGCCCTGCTTGAGGTTTGTCAACAGTCAACTGTATGTAATGTAAGATGACACACACACACACACATATACCTTAATATATATATATATATATATATATATTAAGGTATATGTGTGTGTGTGTGTGTCATCTTACATTACATACAGTTGACTGTTGACAAACCTCAAGCAGGGCAACGACTAACTGCGTGTAGTCCATAACTGCAGTTATGTGCCCCTAAAATTCAATATATTGTGGCAAAAAATGCCCCTGTATGAGTTTTTGTCTCAGATTTATATCTATGATAAGCGATATCACACGAGCAGTGCGACGAATCGACAAGTCACTATGGAAACGGACGCTAAGAAAAAGCAAGGCATACTACTTCTTTCTTCTTCTTCTGCTCATAGGCCATTTGCATACTTAGTGCATATCGACATTTTAGGTTGTGCAATCATTTTTCATTTCTTTTTTCGTTTAATCTTTAATCCTTGAGAATAAGAATAATATTGTTAGTTTGATGCTAATTATATAATAAGTCATATCAGATATGTATTTTTATTATAGAAATATGTGACCCAGGAGCACAAAAAAGATTTATATATCATCTGAAAGCTGAATAAATAAGCTTTCCATTGATGTATGGTTTGTTAGGATAGGGCAATATT